GTCCCTTATGAGGTATTTTGCTGTTGAGACATTGTCCTTTTTGTGCCTTACGAGGTATTTTTCCCTTGGAAGTATTTTTGATGTTTTGAGATTGATGCAAAATAAAAGTCGTGTTCGACCAGAGGTATGAATTTGATGGTGTGTGTAGGTTACGTCTTCTTTCTGTGTTGAGTTTTCGACCTCCTGTTCGGATTGCTTTTGCCGGAAAGTGAAAATTCCAATAGTAAGCGTGTAAGGAAAATGGGAGCTGCATATTGCAGGTGAACCCATATACTTTAGTCAGATCTATAGCTGTTTTTTAAAACATTTACGTAACATACCAGTTGTATAGGTCAACACTCTATTCTGTAATACGTTAACACAACAGTAAACAGCCTTCTAACATAAAAAAACAAGACAAAAATCTGTAGACAAATGACCCTCTACTATTTCAGTCCATTCATCCTTCTCTGGACCAAGTAAATGAGATAAGCCAGAAACGTTATTAAACAAAATTTACACTATTTTTTAGGGTTTTATTTGGTCACCAAAATAATCGAAATACTCGGTTTTCTAACTTTTAAAATAGCGTACTTTCTCAATTCGACTGATTCTTATTATCTCTACTAATGTTTTAGAACGAGGCTAAAGTCACAAAAACAATACAAGAGCTGTTGGAGTATCTCCGCAGTTACACTAATTTCTCCAAATGATTGGCTGCAAAAAAGTTTTTCTGCTCGTTCATTCTTTCTCATGAACGAGAAAGAATATATAGAATATAGCCTGTTGCGTTTACTAAAAGGAAACCGATCAAACAATTCAAGAAACTTCTCTGAAAACAAATGTACCATACTATAATGAAATACCACAAACGGTTTGCGGAAGAGTCGGGGGTCCTGTTCGCGGAACAGACATTCGCGGAAGAGTCGGGGATTCCACTTCGAATGGTTTAGGTATACAGACAATATATACTAAATAAAGAAAATCCTTAAGTTAATAGCATCCTTTTGTCAATAGCAGGTAACATCCGATCCTTTTCATTTTTTTCTCTCCTGTTCCTCTTGCGTGCAAAGTCATAAGAAAAATAAGTAAATATAATACCATTCATAGAAAGGTGAAAATCGCTGACAATTTTAAATGCAGAATTATTGAGAAAGATGAATAAGACTCAATGTCTCTGTTTGATCTGTTTTAATAACATAACATGTGACCTAGTTGATGAGGTTGTTAATCCAATTTTGCTTGAAGGATTCACCACATGTGTACTGAATGGACGAGCGATTTTTCTCCCACTCATATTATTCATCATAATCTATTCGTTTGCCAACAGTATTCTTACCTTACAAACATGTTTGTGTCGTTCAATTCGAATAACAAATCTGGGTGTGTATCTTATTTTCTTATGTATTACAAATTTAGTCTATTTCTCTATCTATTTCATACTGGTTATTTTCCAACTAAAGATCACTTACACTCTGAGGGAGTTCGAACGAGTGACTGTGTTTTCGTCATTATTTTATAGTTTATGGTTATTCAGTTTCATTGCTTGTGACCGCATGTTAATACAATGTTTCAATGTCAGTTTATACGCCTCCCGGCAACGTTCAGTCGTGGCATCTATCATATCTTTAATCGTCGTTCTGTCAACAAATGTCGTACCTGAAATATTACTTCTCATCTTTAAAATTCAGACTTACAGCTGTATTTCCATCATCTTTAGTTATATCCATACGCTTATACCGTGTGTTCTTCAGCTTATTGCCAGCATTATTGTATTAGGTAATATCATTAAAACCAAGCTAAACATGTGCAATCGGTCAGATGTCTACCAAGTGCTAGTCGAACAAATGTCAAAACATCGAGATTTTTTTGTACCCGTTCTCTCTTTATTATTTTTTGGCCTACCATGGTTTACCTATTTTAACAGTGTCGAATACTGTGCTCAGTCCGATAGAATACGCGCATATAGAATTTATATAGCGCTTTCAATGCTTACGTTTGTTCCTTGTGGATCTCTGTTTATTTTGTTTATTCTACCAAATAACGTGTACATGTCGCAATTTCAATATGTATCAGCTTGCGCAGGATTTTTCAAGCAATTACCAACATCATTTGCCCTTCAGCCTTGCAACTAAATGACCACAAAAAACTTTATTCCTAGAGCAAATGAAATGATTTTTTTGCTAAACTAACGCTTTTCATTATGGTGCTAGAAAATACAATCTATTTTATTGTGATAAAAGAATAACTCATACCCAATTCTACGGTTAACTGCACTGATGGTATTTGTAATACAATAATCATTATTATACCAACATATTAGACGATCTAATCGCACATATTACAGTTGAATACCATTTTTTTTCACTTAACGTCAGTACGATATTTAGAGCAGAATGTTAAAAAACTTACGTAAACTCGATGTGAAAAAAATTACATTAAGCAGTGTGTGTACCGGTTAATTTAGTGTTCATATTTAAACAAATAAATATAAATAAATGCAAAAAAATTTGTCTTTTTTTTTGTAACAGTAAATGATTCATTTATATTTATTTCTTTATTTCTAGATGAATAAATATAAATGAATCATTTACTTATATACAATAAATACAAATGACGAATTTATATTTATCCATTATTATAAATGAACGATAAAACAAAGTAACAGCCCTAGTTATGAATAAAAAAAGTGCCTTAGATTAGTTACTCTACATTAAACATTGTAATAATACTCTATCATTATACCTAACGCACAAAGTCAAGTGCTTTGCATTAGTGATAATCATATTTCTATAAAATACTTGCCTAGGAAATAATTCGTGAAATACTGTAATCAAAATGGTATTTCGTGGGTGAATCAAATTAAACTGTATGACTTTGCGAATATATAGACTTATACAAAAATAAGAAAACAGAATATCTTTCAGAAACATCTGTTCTATGGTTCTCTATGCAAAAACCTATAGAAATCCGTGTAGGCCGAATTTTACTAAAAACACGTCTCCTTCTTTGAACCAAGATTAGTTTGTAATATTAACTGTGATTAGAAAAGGTGTAAGCAAGCAAACAAGTGACATGGATACAACAAAGACGTTAATCGAAAAATCTGTCTAATCTGGTCTTTCTAATGTTTCTGACAACTATAAAATTTATATGTAAAGCTTCACAGCAAAAACTGAAGAGCCACTTTCTGGTAGAGTCCGTCAGTGATAACGAAGAATGTAACTCGATGTGGAGTATTTAAAGCAAAAAATTTTGCGACTAGAAAGGGTTTGTTTTAACCATGGAACTTCCGATCCATTTTTCTCCGAATGCCAGACTGATAGAGTTTCTACAAATCTTTTCTCATAAAAAAACAGTTCTAGAAACTAAAGACATTCTTTTTCAAGTATTTTAACGAATAGTCAGCAATAAAACTTTTTGGTTATTTTGAGCACATTTTGAGGGTTTTTTCAATGTTTTTGACGGGTATAGGCATGAGTAATGCGCTCAAAAAATAACTCAAGCACTCAGGCTGAGCTCACAAAATGAGACTGCACAGCTCCGAATAATATCAACACACTTTTCTCGTAATCTTAAAGTCTCGTCATACTGCAATAATGTATCAGCTTCGAACAGAGCTGATCCCGTGCATTTTAAACTGCCTGCAAGCTACAGGCAGTTTAAAAGAATTGTAATGCAGTTGTGATGCAGTTTGCAGATGAATGAAAACTTTTCCCACTGACGGCCAGCAGATAAAAAAGTATGTTAACGTAATTTGAAGTAAGGTGCTGGCAATGCGAAATTCGAGCAAAAAGCTTTTTTTCGCCTTTTTTACACTATTTGATAGAGCGTGAGCTGCTGCTGATCACGAAAATCTACTTTTTAGCCATAGCAAATGCTTCCTTTCGGTCGAAAAATACGAAATACCCGAAAGATGGCGTTTTTCGAGAAAAACACATCTTTTTCGAAATGTGCAAAATTTTCTACTTTACTTTTTTCCAGCTTCTGAAACTAATTTTTTCAGATTCAGCATCAAAAACTGAGTACCGAGACGTTGCTAAAATGACCATAGACCCAAAACCCTACTGGTGGTGGCGCCTCGAATCGCGTCCAGTGCACCACGTATAGGTCGATTTTGTAAACCCATCTAGTTTTTCTACGTAAGTGATAAAGGCAAATATTTTATCTCCTTCGACTCATAATACCGCCAGTTACAAAGTTCCGTATCCTTTTCTTTTCTTTCCTGTGTTGAGAAAAATTGTTTTTACTGGCATCATAGTCATTTTAGGCGGTATTCAAGGCTTTTCGAATTCAAATAAGACTTTTAGTCATAAACTAAATACAGATTCGGTATCAGCACAAAAAGCTGAGTCGAATGAAGCGTATTTAAAGTCAATTTGATAATTTTCATTTTTTGACCTGTATACAACAATTGCAGCTCTATGACGATACCTGAAAAAATGAAAGTTATCAAATTGACTTGAAATACACTTCATTCGATTCAGTTTTTTGTGCTGATACCGAATCTGTATTTAGTTATGGAATGAATCATTTTACGTAGTTTTGTACGTAGTTCACGAATACAACCTTTATTTTATTAAATTTGAACATTGAGCAAAGAACCAAATTACCAATTGATGCTCTCGTAGAATGTGTCTGAAATCTGTGAAATTCTTCATATAGAAAAAGTTTATTTTCAAATCAATTGACGTGGCATTTCATTCACTAAAGTTTCACTATAAATAAAAATACATTGCTGAGAAAACAAAATAAACAAATTTCGTCAACTTACTTTTACCACAACTGATTCCCAATTTTTGACAATTCAATAAATTAAACAACAATAAATAGAACATCTTAGACTTGTTATGTGAGTAGGACGACATCGCATTTTGATACAATGTCAATTTTCAGTTCGTTTGTTCACATATTTCTGTATTAATTACACAAAATTCTGGACAATTGTATGGATTTGTGAGGGCGTTCGTTTTGAAACGTTTTTGAAAAGTGAGTCAAAGCCCGCAGGCGTTGTCATAACATTAAAATTTTGCAATTGAAACTAATGGCGACCATCTTTTTAATAATTCAAATAAATGATATAGTACGCGTAGAGGACCCTCGCTTAGAAAAAGTTCATCAAACCCTATGATAATGCCACAATTAAACATGGTTAAAATAATTCCATAACTCGTTGAGCGGCTACTATAACCAGGAGTATCACTGAAAAAAGAATTTTAGCAGTTTTAAAAACCTTGTTGAGTCTGAAAACAATGCTCACTCACCGTTCTACTGTACAATCTTCAGATGTATAATCACGTTCTTCTTCTTCTAGTTCTTCTTTTTGTTGAATCTTTTGTCCATTACGTTTTAAAACTTCAGTGTGATGCTGACAAAACTTTTCACCAGCTGATGGGCGAGATCCGCATCCCCATCGAACTGGATCTGCAAATAAAAATGATCGAGAAACATACAGAGTTAATTTAAAAACTGTGTATTTGTCCTGCTCGCTTCTCTATAACATTAATACAACTATTAAAATAGTCTCCCGAAAATCGTACAAAAAACTGAAGTGGAGTGACCCGAATGTAAAAGAAACTTTAGTTGAAATCTTTGCAGTTTTTATTGCAGGATAATGTAACGAATGCTCTGAGTAATAGTAGATAAATTGTGTTGACCACCTAGGATAATAATAAGAAAAATAACCATTTACTTCTTCTTTATTGCTAATATCTTTTGGTATTTCAAATTCATCTGTTGATGGTGACGTAAGATATTCAAATAAAACACTTGCGTAAATCATCCAGCTATTTTGAAATGTTCTTCTATCTAACTTTGTGTGATCTGGTAATATATAATT